TGTACTGGCGCCATCTCTCTTTTCCATTTTCTTGGCTGCCTTCCTTACTCTTGCTTGTGCCAATTAAGCCGGCGGGGTGGACATAGTGTACCTGATGAAGGATGTTACGTTTTAAATGCAGGAAAGTGGTTTTCTTACCGTAGAACTCAGATACCTTCACACAGGTTACTCACCCAGGAGATTATGGTGTATCACTACGGAGAATTTAACTCTGCTTCCGGCATTCAATGCGTTGTGTACTTGATAAATGATGATTTAATGAATTCCATTAATTTCCAACATCCATCTAAGTTATTGGTTATACTTTGTCATAACCAATCAGTCATTACCTTTGGTAATAATAATAATAGAGGGATCATAGATACGGGCAGATAATTGCACTTACGTTTATTTGGCACAATTCCATACACTGGACTTATAATTTTCATGGATAGGTCAGTCACTCACATTCACGCCACAGTACCGTAAGTTATAAGGGAGAGTTTGTCAACCTGGAGAATTAATCGTTTAGAACTTTAGATCTATTAGGCCGGCCTGGAGTGCTCTTGTAGCAACAGGCCCTCACCAGTGATCACTTCCTTTACAGGATGCGTTAACTTGTCGCTGGACTTAACAACAATCTCGGGGATTTGCACACACAGACTCGTAGCACTGGTAGGACTGTATGGCCCCTGTTCTAAGTCCGCGGAGCAGGAGGTCTTCTCTAACCCAAGGTCTAAAGCCCACTGACTAAAATGTGGTTTTGAGGCATGAAATGATGATCAGTACAACACTGTCTCACTGGCCTCCCCCTATCCACTGGCTAACATACCACTAATGGAAAATATATGTCCCAGTTATGGCTGGCCGGGTGCCTTATCTCTACCATAAACAAACATTTGGGATGGGTTGTGCAGGTAGACCCAACACAACCCATGACAAAGGATCTTTTCAAAATAAGACGACTCCAGGCAGGAACAAAGGTGTCGGCAACTTCCATTACTGAACTTTAGTATTCAGTATGTCGTTCACACTGAACGCGACCTACAGGAGATCCTGAACACCTATGCAGATGCGTATGCGCACTTTGGCCTTGAGGTAAATGTGTGTAAGACTCAGATTCTCTTTCAACCTGCCCCTGGTTCAGCCACACCTCCACTATCCATCCAGCTTAATGGTACTACCCTCTCTAATGTTACCCACTTTCAGTATCTCGGCTCCCACCTGTCCACCACCGCGAACATCGACGAAAAGATTCAGCATCGAATCAAATGTGCATCTCAAGCCATTGGCAGACTCTGTACCCATGTCTTCAGCTGTAGGGAGCTGAAATTATCTAAAATTGCACTTATATCGAGCTGTGGTCCTCCCCACCGTGTTATATGGCAGTGAGACATAGGTTACATACAGGAGGCACCTCAAGGCACTTGAAAACTTTCACCAGCATAGTCTACGTTCCATCCTCCAAGTTCGCTGGGAAGACAAGAGAACAAATTCCAGTATCCTCTTTTACACCAACTTTAGGAGCATCGAGGCTGCAATTATTCAACTACGCTGGACTAGCCATGTTACCCGCATGGACGACAGTAGACTGCCAAAGAAGCTACTTTACAGTCACCTAATGAATAGTAATCGTAACTCTGGCAGGCAACTGAAAAGGTATTAGGATAGTCTTAAGACAAACCTGAAAAAGTGCCAAATCGACCCCCTCACCTGGGAGACGATTACTCCACATCGTAACGTTTGGAGGATCACCACAAGAGGTGTCAATACTTTCGAATTAACCCGACTGCAAACCGGAGCAGACAAGCGCCAGGGCCGGAAAGACGCTGCCGCTGCCCCTCCCGCACTAGATGGATCCCTCCACATGTGCAACATCTGTGGACGACCTTGCCGGTCCCCTATCGGCCTCTTTAGTCCCCTCAAAATTCACCTATCTAGGTGACGTCCCTAATAACTCTTTTCATTGTACCATAGCTGGATGATCGTCATACTCGATTCCGAGTGACAGCAAAGTAGTAGTAGGGTGTAGGGTGTGTTTCTACGGCGGTGTAGGGTGTGCGACTAGGGCTGTGTGAGGTGTAGGACCTTTGTGTTAATTTCAATTTCAATTTCAATTGTTTATTCCTTGATCGAGGAAGCGGGATCCTAGTGCTGTCACTAGGTACCCCTGTACAATAAAACCAGAAGCATCTGGCAAGTGTCACAAGTATATACAGTCTAAATATTATAAAGGGGCTTACTAAAGCTAGGAAGGAAGGATATTCCTTTAACACATAATCAATGTTATTTACAAAATATCTGGCCAGTATGGGGAGGATCATCGTGTCTCCGTCAGGGGTCGTGGAGTGGTGGTCCAGCAGGCGTCACGGAAGCGTTGTGTGGGGACATCAGGAGGTAGTGGATAAGGGTGCTGCTGTCGGGTCTTGTACATAATGCACAAGAGCGTTGCTCGGGGATGAGGGATACCAATCTCCCAAGCAAAGTCATACCCAATGATGATCTAGGGTTGCATAGGGTGTGTGTGTCTCGGGCTGTGTAGAGTGTAGGGTGTGTGTCTACGGCGGTGTCGGATGTAGGGTGTGTGTACTGTACCTAGAGCTGTGTAGGATGTGTGTCTAGGGCTGTGCAGGGCGTAGGACCTGTGTCTAGGGCTGTATAGGGTGTGTGTACTGTACCTAGGGCTGTGAAGGGTGTATGTACTGTACCTAGGGATGTGTAGGATGTAGGCCTGTGGGGTGTGTGTGTCTGTACCTAGGGCTGTGTGGGTGTGTGTGCTGTACCTAGGGATGTGTGGGGTGTAGGCCTGGGTGTGTGTGTGCTGTACCTAGGGCTGTGAAGGGTGTAGGGCCTGTGTCTGGGACTGTGTGGGGTGTGGGGTGTGTGTACTGTACCTGGGGCTGTGTGGGCTGTGGGGTGTGTGTGCTGTACCTGGGACTGTGTGGCTGTGGGGTGTGTGTACTGTACCTGGGGCTGTGTAAGCTAGGGTGTGTGCACTGTGCACCTAGGGCTGTGTGGGGTGGGTGTGTGTGTGCCTTGGTACTGTGTGGGGTGTGGGGTGTGTGTGCTGTACCTGGGGCTGTGTGGGCTGTGGGGTGTGTGTGTGTGCCTTGGTATGTGTGGGGTGTGGGGTGTGTGCTGTACCTGGGGCTGTGTGGGGTGTGGGGTGTGTGTGTGTACCTGGGGCTGTGTGGGGTGTGGGTGTGTGTGTGCCTTGGTGTGTGTGTGGGTGTGGGGTGTGTGTACTGTACCTAGGGCTGTGTAGGGTGTGAGGGTGTGTGTGTTGTGCCTGGTATGTGTGGGGTGTGGGGTGTGTGTACTGTACCTAGGGCTGTGTAGGCTGTAGGGTGTGTGTGTTGTACCTTGGTATGTGTGGGTGTGGGGTGTGTGTGCTGTACCTGGGCTGTGTGGGGTGTGGGGTGTGTGTGCTGTACCTAGGGCTGTGTGGGTGTGGGGTGTGTGTGCTCTACCTGGGGCGGTGTGGGTGTGTCTACTGTACCTGGGGCTGTGTGGGGTGTGGGGTGTGTGTACTGTACCTGGGGCTGTGTGGGGTGTGTGTGTGTGTCTAGGGATGTGTGGCTCACCCCACCACAGCCTGTCAACACACACACACACACACACACACACACACACACACACACACACACACACACCTAAATAAATAATTTATTATTATTATTATTATTATTATTATTATTATTATTATTATTATTATACACACACAGACACCTCACCCCGACAACAGGCACTTCTACACTAAAACTCCTACTTCACCCTGGCAACACACCTACTTCACCCTGACAAATTCCTACTTCACCCTGGCAACACACCTACTTCACCCTGGCAACACACCCTACTTCACCTGACAAACACCCTACTTCACCCTGGCAACACACCCTACTTCACCCTGACAAACACACCCTACTTCACCCTGGCAACACACCCTACTTCACCCTGGCAACACCCTACTTCACCCTGGCAACACACCCTACTTCACCCTGGCAACACACCCTACTTCACCCTGGCAACACCCTACTTCACCCTGGCAACACACCCTACTTCACCCACCAACACACCCTACTTCACCCTGGCAACACACCCTACATCACCCACAACAACACACCCTACTTCACCCTGGCATCACACCCTACTTCACCTGGCAACACCTACTCACCCCTGGCAACACACCCTACTTCACCCTGACACACCCTACTTCACCCTGGCAACACCCCTACTTCACCCTGGCCAACACACCCTACTTCACACAACACACCCTACTTCCCCTGGCCTACTTCACCTGGCACACACCTACTTCACCCTGGCAACACCAGCAACACACCCTACTTCACTGACAAACACCCTACTCACCTGGCAACACACCCTACATCACCACAGCAACACACCCGACTTCACCCTGACAACACCCTACTTCACCCTGGCAACACACCCTACTACTTCACCCACAACACACCCGGCTTCACCTGACCACCCTACTTCTTCACCCTGGCAACACACCCTACTTCACCCTGTAACACCCTACACCCCTGGCAACACACCCTACTTCACCTGGCAACACCTACTTCACCCTGGCAACACACACACACTCACACCATCTATAATGCCTGCCCTCATAATTCAGCTCGTGCTTGATGAATGGGTAAAGACGTGAGGGATTCAAACCAGATGAATAATTAGGAGGAGAGAACCTCTCCTCTCTCTCTCTCTCTCTCTCTCTCTCTCTCTCTCTCTCTCTCTCTCTCTCTCTCTCTCTCTCTCTCTCTCTCTCTCTCTCTCTCTCTCTCTCTCTCTCTCTCTCTCTCTTATATAATCACGGTATACTCTCGTCAGCCATGTTGGATTACGCCTCATAAAGACTAGGTCAGGTGCTGGTGCTTAATTAATAAACATCACCTGTAAAGTGGTTTGTCCTACGCTACCAACTGAAGCCCTGTGTGTGTGTGTGTGAGTGTGTGTGTGTGTGTGTGTTATGTATCACAAGTACTAACTCAGATATCTTTTCTACAGAGCCGCTGGCAGACCCGGGATTATCGTCCATACCTGGTGGCCTTCCCCCGGAGTTTTCACAGGTGAGGCCAAACCCCTCCTACACCTCCTACCACCAGGTCCTTCCACACTACCACCAGGTCCTCCCACACCACCACCAGGTCCTCTACACCACTCAGGTCCTCCTACACCACCATTAGGTCCTCCTACACCACCACCACCAGGTCCTCCACCACCACCAGGTCTCCTACACTACCACCAGGTCTCTACACCACCACCAGGTCCTCCTACACCACCACCAGGTCCTCCTACACCACCAGGTCTCCCACCACCACCAGGTCCTCCTACACCACCACAGGTCCTCCTACACTACCACCAGGTCCTCCACACCACCACCAGGTCCTCCTACACCACCACCAGGTCCTCCTACACCACCACCACCAGGTCCTCCTACACCACCACCAGGTCTCCTACACTACCACCTGTACCTCCTACACCACCACCAGGTCCTCCTACCACCAGGTCCTCCTACACCACACCGGTCTCCTACACCACCACCGTCCTCCCTACACCTACCACCAGGTCCTCCCCACACCACCAGGGTCCTCTACACCACCACCAGGTCCTCCTACACCCACCACCACCAGGTCCTCCTACACCACCACCAGGTCCTCCTACACCACCTGTACCTCCCCACACACCAGGTCCTCCTACACACAGGTCCTCCTACACCACCACCAGGTCCCTACACCACCAGGTCCTCCTACACCATCACCAGGTCTCCCTACACCACCAGGTCTCCTACACCACCACCAGGTCCTCCCTACACCATCACCAGGTCCTCCTACACTACCACCAGGTCCTCCTACACCATCACGGGTCCTCCCACACCACCACAGGTCCTCCTACACCACCCCAGGTCCTCCCTACACCACCACCAGGTCTCCTACACCACCACCAGGTCCTCCCTACACCACCACCAGGTCCTCCTACACCACCACCAGGTCCTCCTACACCACCAGGTCCTCCCCACCTCCTCTACACCCAGGTCCTCCTACACCACCACCAGTCCTCCACACACCGGTCCTCCTCACCACACAGGTCCTCCCACCCCAGGTCCTCCTCACCACCGGGTCCTCTACACCACACAGGTCCTCCACCACAGGTCCTCCTACACACCAGGTCCCACCCCTCCCACACCGTCCTCCCACACACCACCAGGTCCTCCTACCAGGTCCTCCACCACCACCAGGTCCTCCTACCACCACCAGGTCCTCTACACCTACCAGGTCCTCCCCACCACCACAGGTCCTCCTACCACCGGTCTCCTACCACCGGGGTCTCCTACCTCCCAGGTCCTCCTACACCACCACCAGGTCCTCCTACACCACCAGTCCTCCTACACTACCAGGTCTCTACACCCATCAGGTCCTCCACACCATCACCAAGTCCTCCTACACTACCACCAGGTCCTCTACACTACCACCGGTCCTCCACACACAGGTCTCCTACACCACCACCGTCCTCCTACACTACCACAGTCCTCCTACACCAGGTCTCCCCACACCACCACCAGGTCCTCCCACCACCACCAGGTCTCTACACACCACCAGGTCTCCTACACCACCACCAGGTCCTCCTACACCACCAGGTCCTCCTACCATCCCAGTCTCCTACACACCACAGGTCCTCCTACACTCACTCCCACCACAGGTCTCCTACACCACCACCAGGTCCTCCACGTCTCCACCACAGGACCTCTACCACAGGTCCTCCTACACCACCACCAGGTCCTCCACCTGTCAGGTCCTCCACCACCACCAGTCCTCTCTACCACAGGTCCTCCTACTACCAGGTCCTCCTACCACACCACCACCAGGTCCTCCTACTCACCAGGTCCTCCCACCACCACGGTCCTCCTGCACCACCACCAGGTCCTCCTACCTGGGTCCTCCTACACCACCACAGGTCCTCCTACACTACCACCAGGTCCATCTACTACCATCAGGTCTCCCATCACCCAGTCCTCCTACACACCACCAGGTCCTCCTACTACCACAGGTCCTCCCCACCAGGGTCCTCCTACACCACCAGGTCCTCCCACCACCAGGTCCTCCTACACCACCACCAGGTCCTCCTACACACCACACCAGGTCTCCACACCATCACAAGTCCTCCTACACTACCACCAGGTCCTCCTACACACCACCACCAGGTCCTCCTACACCACCAGAGTACTCCTACACTACCACCAGGTCCTCTCACACTACCATCAGGTCCTCCCACACCATCACCAAGTCCTCTACACTACCCGGGTCCTCTACACTACCACAGGTCCTCCTACACCACCACCAGGTCCTCCTACACCACCACGTCTCCCTACCACCACAGGTCTCCTACACCACCAGGTCCTCCTGCACACCACCAGGTCCTCCCACACCACCACCGTCTCCACCACTACCACAGGTCCTCCTACACCACCACCAGGTCCTCCTACTACCACCAGGTCCTCCTACACCTCCCAGGTCCTCCTACACCACCACAGGTCCTCTACACACCATCCAGGTCCTCTACCACCATCACCAGTCCTCTACTACCACCAGGTCCTCTACACCACCAGTTCCTCCTACACCACCAGGTCTCTACCACCGGGTCCTCTCCCCACCACAGGTCCTCCACACACCACCAGGTCCTTCTACCACCAGGTCCTCCTACAGGTCCTCCTACACCACCACAGGTCCTCTACCACCCGGGTCTCTACCCACCCAGGTCTCCCACACCACCACCAGGTCCTCCCTACACCACCACCAGGTCCTCCTACACCACCACCAGTCCTCTACACTACCACCAGGTCACCTACCATCACCAGGTCCTCCTACACCACCACCAGGTCCTCCTACTACCACCAGGTCTCTACCCACCAGGTCCTCCTACACCCACCAGGTCCTCCTACACCACCAGGTCCTCCCCCTTCACAGGTCCTCTACACCACCACCGTCTCCTACCACCGTCCTCTACACTACCACCAGTTCCTCTACACTACCACCAGGTGCTCCTACCACCAGGTCCTCTACACCACCACCAGGTCCTCTACACACCACCAGGTCCTCCCTACACCGGGTCTCACACCACCACCAGGTCCTCTACCAGGTCTCCTACACCATCACTCCTCACACACCACCAGGTCCTCCTCACCACCACCAGGTCCTCCTACCACCACCACCAGGTCTCCTACACCACCACAGGTCCTCCTACACCACCACCACCAGGTCCTCCTACCACCAGGTCTCTACACCACCAGGTCCTCCCTACAACACCACAGGTCCTCCTACCTCACCACAGGTCCTCCTACCACACCACCAGGTCCTCCTACACCACCACCAGGTCCTCCTACACCACCACCAGGTCCTCCTACACTACCAGGTCCTCCCACCACCACAGGTCCTCTACACCACCAGGTCCTCCTACACCACCACCAGGTCTCCCTACACTACCACCAGGTCCTCCCACACCACCACCAGGTCCTCTACACCACCACCGGTCCTCCTACACCACCACCAGGTCCTCCTACACCCACCACCAGGTCCTCCTACACTCACCACCAGGTCCTCACACCACCACCAGGTCCTCCTACACCACCACCGGGTCTCTTCACCATCACCAGGTCCTCTCCACTACCACCAGGTCCTCCTCACCACCACCAGGTCCTCCTACACCACCACCAGGTCCTCCTACACCACCACCAGGTCCTCCTACACCACCACCAGGTCCTCCTACACCATCACCAGGTCCTCCTACACCACCACCAGGTCTCCTACACCACCACCAGGTGCTCCTACACCACCACCAGGTCCTCTACACCACCACCAGGTCCTCTACACCACCACCAGTGCCCCGGTCTCCTCACCACCAGGTCTCACACTACCACCAGGTCCTCCTACACCATCACCAGGTCCTCCTCACTGCCACCAGGTCTCTGCACCCACGGTCCTCCTGCACCATCACCAGGTCCTCTCCACACCCACCAGGTCCTCTACACCACCACCAGGTCCTCCCACCCACCACCAGGTCTCCTGCACCACCACCAGGTCCTCCTACACCACCACCAGGTCCTCCTACACCACCACCAGGTCCTCCTACACCACCACCAGGTCCTCCTACACCACCACCAGGTCTCTACACTACCAGGTCCTCCACACCACCACCAGGTCTCCTACACCACCAGGTCCTCCTACACCACCACCAGGTCCTCCTACACCACCACCAGGTCCTCCTCCACCAGGTCTCTACACACTACCACCAGGTCCTCCTACACCACCACCAGGTGTCCTCACACCACCACAGGTCCTCCACCACCCCAGGTCCTCCTGCACCACCACCGTTCCTCTACACCACCACCAGTGCTCCTCGCACCACCACCAGGTCCTCCTACACCATCGCAGGTCCTCCCCACACCACCACCAGGTCACTCCTCACCACCACCACCAGGTCCTCTACACCACCGCAGGTCCTCACTGCACCACCAGGTCTCACACTACCACCAGTTCATCTCACCGCCACCAGGTCCTCCTACACCAGGTCACCTACACACCACCAGGTCCTCCTGCACCACCACCAGGTCCTCCTGCACCACCAGTTCCTCCTACACCACCACCAGGTCCTCCTACACCACCACCAGTCCTCTCTACACCACCAGGTCCTCCTACACCACCACCAGGTCCTCCCACCTACCACCAGGTCACTCCTGCACTCCAGGTCCTCTACACTACCACCAGGTCCTCCGCCGCCGGTCCTCCTACACCACCACCAGGTTCCTCACCACCACCAGGTCTCCTGCACCCACCCACGCAGGTCTCCTGCACCACCACCAGGTCATCCCCACTGCCAGTCCTCCTGCACTGCAGGTCCTACACCTGCCACCAGGTCGCTCCTACACTACCACCCAGGTCCTCCTGCACTACCACCACCATCACCACACTGCCGGTCCTTCTCACTACCACCAGGTCTCCTACACCACCACCAGGTCCTCCTACACTACCACCAGGTTCCTGCACTACCACAGGTTCATCACACTACCACCAGGTCCTC